TGATGCACCATCATATGTTTGTGCAATAAGTTTGTCTTTCACATGCTTCTCAAGCTCGGTGAGAATAACCGTAGATAAAGCTTTGGCATCATGATCTTAAGGCATTAAAAAATCCAAAAATCGTTCAACTGGCTTGCCTTTTAAAATGTATCTAAATACAATTGCCATTTGGAATTTATTTGATACGTCACTAGTTTCATCAGCAAATTATAGATAAATAATCGTCATTTTCTATTTCCTTAGAAATTTCCTCTTGGCATACAGTAAACATTGTTTGTAAAATTTCATTTTGAATGGTTTTTGACGTACCTTTAAATACCGATGCTTTTACTAGATGCTGTTTTAGAGCACCGTCTAACTCAGAACTAAAATCAATTAATCCTCGAAAAACCCCGGGATTAGAGGAAGACGTAGACTCATCATGTCCTCTTAATGCGAGCTCGAAAGCTCCACAAAAACGCACACAATTAATTATTATGTTTAAAATGTATCGATTTTGTCTCACTTGCTCATTGTGCAATGCAATATTTCGTCGATAAGCGGTACTAAATTGAGCAGCCACGTTTACAGTTCCAAAAAGTGAATATTGTAAAACATTTTTAATGTGCTTTGCTGACGATGTATATGCTTTTTGATGCGGTCACCAGAATGATTCAAGTCGGTAAACCCTATTTTTGTCCAGGAATCTTCTCCTCCGAATAGCAAACAAGGGAAACAATAAAGAGCATTTTTAATTTCACACCCACAAAGCCATGTATGTTTATTATAAAGCTCCGGGTTAAATGTTCTGGTAAAAGTCCTTTTTTTGCTAGACACAGATTGTTCCATTTTTAAATTCGGAGTAGGCCTACGAAGTCTTTTTATTTTAGCCTTATCAATTAATGAATCGACCACAGAATGGGTTTGCAATTAAACTTTCAACCGAATTCATTTTTACACACAAAACAAACGAAAAAAGTGATTACCCACCACACTATAAACTAAAATCACTAATTAGCGGGCGAAATAAACAAGAAGTTTGCACTCGTCCTGCAACCTAACTGAGCTTATGGGACGGAATTTGAAATCAACGCGTAGTAACACAAACACGCGCTTATTAATATAGCCGGATTGGTTTGCATTCGAGCTGCAAACTACATCGCAGCGACAAAGCCGTCGCGTGGCGAGAAAATTAAAGACATTTAGGAAAAGGTGGTGAAATTGAAATTATTTCAGTCATTGACTGCTCCTCGCATATAAATGTAGGTACAGAATTTTGGTATGAATTTAAAAAAATATAATTTTAGTTCTTTTTTCATTTTACCAAAATTTTTTGGGGGTTGCGCAAACCTGCAAACCTAAGGAAGAGCCGCCACTGTATACGTCAATGTTTGGGGATTGGGTCGAGATAAGGAACTTTCCGATATGATTTTCATTTTTTTGGCTCTGTTTTCCGTAATTGCTAAACCTAAATTGTCAAAATTTGATACAAAAAAGGGCCAGGTTCTGACATTATTCCTCCCATCCTACTAAGCAATTGCAGCTTCATACTATCTCGCCTTCTCTTTCATATTTTCAATAAATTAATCGACACAGAAGTGTTTCCCCATAATTGGAAACTTTCTCATGTCAGTCCAATATACAAATTGCTCTGGAATCACACTGAAAAACAAATGGTTTTTGTGCAGTAAAATTTATTTTTATATCGACTTCTTATCAGAAGCCTTGCAAAAAGGTTTACAAAAAAATAAATGAATTTAAAGAAATGGCAATTTTCATTTTTTGTCCGATATTTTGAATCTTCCTGTAGATATCAAAGATTTCTTTTGCGCCATTTTAATAAACATACAATTACACTACTAAGAAATAACAATACTGTTCCTATATAGTAGGGACCCTGTGTTGGAATGATTCAATGGGTAAAATAAGTCCCATAAGAAATGCATGGGCTTTTAAGAACATTGATAAAGTAGTTAGATTGAACCGAAAATTCTGAAAATCAATAGTATTCTAAGTTAGAAGCAATTATTCAGGGTCGGTCTTTTCACCTTCAGATAAAGTGTCGAGTAATTGTTTTCTCCAAGATAAAAAGTCATCTTTTCACTTTTGATCTCTGAAGGTATATGACATAATATGTGACACGAGTCAACATTATTTATTTGCTCTTATGGACGTTGTTGAAAATGTTGTTTTTGTAAATAGTGGTTTAAGTATTTATTTCGTAAAATTGTATATTTTTTATTCTCGAAAAAGTACTTATAAAAATAAACAGTCTATACATATAAAGAGCTTGCGCACAAAACTTAGCAAGTCCAACATCTGAAATAAATGAATTATTGCGCCAGATCTCTTAAAAATGCTAAAACTCAACAAGTCCTCAACAATTTTATACCAAAATTAGACAAAATCATATTAAGGTATTATCAAACTCCTATTGTTCAAGAAAATAAACAAATTAAGTTACCATAAATTTACATGCTATTTTATAACAAAAATGTTATTAAATTAGAAATAAACCCCTTCACAGCAAAACTAAACAAGTATTTATGACCCTGTATTAATATTTATAGCAAAACAAGTCTCATTAGGGCAATTTTACCTAATTGCTTATTGGAACTGGTTGTTAATGACTAATTTGCATAATTTTGTTAATCTGAAACCCGCGTAAGTATAGCGAACAGACTGTACAGCATTTGCTCTGCTATTGAAGCAATCGGCGTTAACAATAAAAAAAAATTCCCATATTATTTATTACTGCTGATAGTTCAGTTAAGCGGAATCCATTATCGACGTTATTTTCAAACTCTATATTACAGCTCTCTTCGTTCCATCTTTGTCATGCATTATGGAAAAGTGAATATAGTGTTAAAAAAGAAGACAGAAAAATAATAATAGAAATATTTCAACTCATTCTCTACGCACCTACATTAGAAGAGACAGAAGAATATTTTATCTCTTTAAAATCACACAGCGTGGGTAATAAATTATTGTTTAATCATTTACATAACTTGTGGCTTCGTAGAAAAGAATGGTACTTTTTCTACAGAAAAAATATTACTAGTGGTAATAATACCAACAATTACACTGAGGCTTCAATCAGAATTTTCAAAGATATAATTCTGCAGAGATGCAAGGTTTTTAATTCTTGTACTTTAGTGGATTTTATCGTTAATGTCTTCGAGAATTACTATAAACGAACATTATTAGAGTTTTCCAATTATAGGCGAACTAAACCCCAGATCGATTATAAAAATATGTGCTGTAAGGCAAACGACTTAAATATTATTTATTAAATAGTTGACAAAATATTTTATGCTGTCTCTCCTTCGGATATAATTCAATACCTGTTGCGGTATTAGCCAAAGGAGTAGTTGTTTTTTTGAAGGGAAACAGTCGTTGGTATTTATGTGATATTGGCTTTGAGTTTTATTCATTTTATTTTACGTCTATCACATTTGAGTTTGATTTATTTTCATTTTTACAAATTGCTCGCCTGGTTTTTTTGGTTCCACCTAGTTTTCCAACTGGGTACTACAGCGCCCTTTGATTTTGCTTACTAAGAACAGATGGTGACACCATTTCACTACTTGAATTCTTATTCTATTCGTGACTAACTTTATTGTATTCTGGTGAAATGTGTAGCATTTGTTAATTCCATTAGAGACTGGAATTGAGAACCTATCTATTTCTTGCTGAACAGATCTAATAAGGACGAAACCGGTCCAAGAATGATATTCTACTTAGCACAGTTTATAGCTAAAGAATCAGTTCGCTCACTCTGCGTCTCGGCACTTTTGATCTCAATGTTCCAGTTTATACACTGCGCAACTCGGATTTGTATCCCTGGCGCATACAGAATCAATTCATAACCAATACAATATATGACAACCGCCTATATTTAAACAGCATTCTTCTGCGCATCCTGAATTTGTATCCCTGGAGAGGATATTATTCTGGAACATCCAATTGGTCCGATTGAGCGAACTGATTCTTTTAAGCTATAAACTGTGTCCTTAGTGAGCAAAATCAAAGGTAGTGTTGAAATTTAATTTCTATCTCTGCTGTCTCTCCTTCGGATATAATTCAACACCTGTTGCGGTATTAGCCAAAGGAGTAGTTGTTTTTTGAAGGGAAACGGTCGTTGGTATTTATGTGATATTGGCTTTGAGTTTTATTCATTTTATTTTAAAATATTTTATGTTGCTTCAGAAAAGGACTCAAGTTTATTTTATACAGTCAATGCTAGAATTGCATTTTGCGATTGCCCATTTGGTGCAGGCGGCAATTTCTGTAAATATTTATGTGCAATAGAACAAAAGTTTAGTATACTATTTAAGACTTCGCTACTTCTCAACGTTTCAAATAGAATACAGTTAGCACAATTAGCTGTTGGATACTGCAGAGAACTTTTATCAAAACAAATGTTTAAATATATTGATATTGAGAATTCAGATCCGTCAGGCTCATTTATAGAAAAAAATTTCACAGATAGAAGATACGGAAATTATTAAAATATATCAAGTACCCTGTTTATCTGTTATCACTATACCTAAGTTTCTAGAACCATCTTGATGCTCCCTATCTATAGTCACCGTTTGTCCGTTTACTAATAAAATAAGTATTGTGTTTTGAAAAAAATAGTAATAGCTAGAGAATTATGGGAAATAGAAGTAATTAAACAAAATTTGACAAGAAACTAAAAAACGTTAAAACACGTTTCTCTTTATGATGAAATGAGTCTCTATATAACAGTTTTCAAATTTGTAATTTCAGATTCTCCAGAATAACAAAATTTTTCTTTAAATTATATTCTTCTTTTTTATTTCTATCATACAAATTCTTTAAATAGAAACTTCAAAAATGCAATAAATTAAACGATTATTTTTATACGAAAAGAATTTACTTACGCATGTTTACCAAACGTACGCATTTTTGTTTAATCTAAAAATTTACAATTTTTTTCTTTTAAAAACAATATAAAACAATGACCTCATTATTACCGCATTATTCTACTATTGGTGTAGAAAATGACGAATTCTAAATTATTAAAAATAATTTTAGCATCGTTGTTTTTAATTAAATTAGTTTATTCTCAAGATACTGCAGAAATTGATCGATTAGAAAAGTTAATAAATACTGGGACGAAAGCAGCTGAGGATTATATACTGCCTACTGATGCTAGACAGTACCAAGCAACAGATAACAATGTACAAGGTAAGTGCAGTTTTCAAATAGGATCTACTAAAAACTGTTATTCAGCAAACACCTGGTAACTATAGCGCTTTATAAATTATTAATCAATGACTCCTTGCATTTCAAAATTAGTGTAATAAAGGGTGTTTCCAGATTCCCATAGAGCACACGCTTAATCTTAATAGAAAATTCGAGATGCTGTCGTTTAACTACAGAACTAGAGCACTTTGAATATGGTATCGCATTATTTGTAATACTTACTTGAGGAAACACTAAAAATTGTGTTATACACATTACATGTACATATAAATATTATGTAGATTAGATTTATTAGGACTGTGGGCCATGTGGCCTCCCCCACCTCGACCTTTTCAGATATATTGTGGATATCCTTGAATCGTTGTTTAGAGTACCTTGTCTAATTCGGTCTTTTATAATAGACTCCTTAGACTGAGAAGTAGTTCTCCGGTATAGCTAGTTGCTCTTGGTTTTTCTTCTCCAAGTGTAAGGAATCTCAGTCTTGCTAGACCTTCGCAGTAGCCCAATACGTGTACTGCCGTTTCCTCCTCTTCCTGACAGAATCGGCATAAGGTATCTTCTGTCAGACCGATATTATACATATGTTTGTTAAGCCTACAATGCCCTGTTAATACACCTACTAGTACTCCAGTATTTTTCCTATTAAGGCTTAGTAGATGCTCGGTGAGTTTAGGCGATGGTCCTTTTAAGAACTCTTTGGCCTATCTCTGTCCTGGAGAGTTTTCCACCACTCCTGAAATTTTTTAAACATCCACTGCTTTGTGCATGTTCTGATAGTTATTTTTGTTACACCACAGAAGGATTCTGGGCCAATAAGAGTATTTGAGGCTCCTTCTTAGGCTAGTAAATCAGTTTCTTCATTACCTTTGTCCTCTGTGGGCTGGTACCCAGGCTAAGGTTAGTCTGTTTTGACTACCCAGCTCTGTTAGGGCTTCCAAACAGCCCTACACAAGCTTTGAGTGTACCTGCATGGAACTGAGTGCTTTTTTTCCATTTACCTTCTGTCTTAATACCGCTTTTGCGCAGGGATGTATTGCTGCTATTTCTGCCTGGAATACTGTCGCATGTTTACCTAAGCTCAGTGAGATTCTTGTCTTTGGCTTGGTACTATATATACCTACTCCTGAACCTTCATGGGTTTTGGAGCCGTCTGTATACCAGGTGAATTCTGCATGAATAGGAGGTCCTCGCGTCCATGCTTCCCTGTCTGGTATACTTACTTTATATTGCTTTTGAAAGCTATACTTTGGAAGCATTTCATCTGAAGGCATTCCCATTATTTGGTCGTTCTCCAACTCTATATAGCTCGCTGTAGTCACGTCCATGCAAACTGTTTATCGGCGATGAACCTTTGTGCAGTCTTTATGCTTCGCTTCGCCTTGAATGAATATATACAGTGGTATTAGGTTTAGTATGACTTCTATAGCTGCTGTTGGAGTCGCTCTCATAGCTCTTGTGATACTCAGGCATGTTTGCCTTTGAATACCATTGAGCTGTCGAATGGCTTCAGCTTGCCGAGTCTTTGGCCACCATACCACCGACCCGTAGGTTATCATCGGCCTTATGACTCTGGTATATAACCATAGGGACATTTTTGGTTGTAGTCCCCAATTTTTTCCACACAACCTTCCACATAAGTTAAAGGATGTTGTGCTCTTTTGGGTGACTTTTTGCAAGTGTTGATTCCATGTTAAACTGTGGTCAAAGATGACTCCCAAGTATTTGTCCTCTTGAGCAAATGGAATCTTCACTCCTTTCAGTACTGGTGACTTTAGTCCTATTGGTACTTTTAGTTTTGTAGTTGACTATTGTGGTTTTGTGAGGGTTTACTGTTATGTTATGTTGATAATGGGGTGTTAATACACTGCGACCTAAAAGATCTATTGTGCCCCCTTCTGTCGCCACTGCACTAAGGAAATGTCTCAATGCCTATAGCGACCTTTCCAATCCTATTTTCTCAAGGAAGTGTAGGATTTGAAGTGGCTTCAAGTTAGGTAAGTCTCCCTCTTCTATTTGATATCCTCCTAGATATAGTGCCCTTGGATTCTGGAGTGCTACACATTCAGTTAGGATGTGAATGGAGGTTTCGTCCCCTTCCTCACAGAATCTGCACTCACTATCCTCTACTACTCTCAGTTTACTTAGGTGTCCTTTTAGTCGGCAGTGCCCGGTAAGGATCCCTGTTACAATACGTAGCCTGTTCTTGCTCAGGCAGATGCAGGCTTCCGATCTTTTTTGGTTATATTCATCCAGAAGTATCTTCGCCTGTCTCAGCCCCAATAGATTGTTCCAATTATCGGTTCTTCTACTACCCAATTCTTTTTTAATATCTCCTAATATTATGTTACTGCTGATACCGCAGAACGGCTCAGGTCCTACAAAGGGTGTTTGAGCCCCTTTCCTTGCAAGACTATCTGCAATCTCGTTACCTTGTACCCCGTTATGTCCCGGGACCCAAGTATTTGTCCTCTTGAGCAAATGGAATCTTCACTCCTTTCAGTACTGGTGACTTTAGTCCTGTTGGTACTTTTAGTTTTGTAGTTGACTATTGTGGTTTTGTTAGGGTTTACTGTTAGTTCCTCTTTGCACCACTCGTCGACAATGTTTAGAGCGGTTTGTGTTCGCTCCGATATTGTACCTGCGAACTTGCCTCATACGACGATCGCCAGATCATCGGCATACCCTAGGCAGTAGAAATCTGAGATATTAGTCTTTTTATGAGTTCGTCCACTAGGACTAACCCTGGACAGCCTCTGCCGGCTTTAGCTGTCACTGTAGCTTCACCTCGAGCACAGAGTTATATCTAGGACTTCTTTTCTCGTTGCCGTGACGAAAGTTGGTTTGTTACCTATATTAGCAATTACTAAACCTTCAGATAAGATGAATTGTAATAAAGACTCACCTCTTGTATTGATGTCAGTACTTCCTCAGATGGTATGATAGACATTAGTATCACATTCTATGATCAGTTGGAGGTTAGCCCTTGCCGCATATGAGACTATTTCGCCTATTATATGCGGGGGACATAGCTCCTCTCCTGGGAAATATGCAGAATAGACTAGCCATTTTTTTGTTCCTTCCTCTGCCGGCGTAGTTACGTAGTTAGGAGAGCTGTAACAATATCAGCGGTGCACAGCACCGGTATTAGTACACAATTTACCCTGTTGTTATATAAGATACATGCTCGTGGTCTTTTAGATCTTTCGTTATACAAAATTTTACCTTGGTTGGGTTTTAGGCCTACTACCCTCCCGCCATGTAATCAGGGTTCTTGCAAGAGGACCAAATCTAGACCCTCTTTGTCAAACCTCCTACATATTGTAGCGGTGGCCGCCTTGGCATGATGGAGGTTCACCTGAAGAACCCTGAGCGATCTGCTCAGTTCTGTGAACTGGGCCGTTTGTCTGTTTTCTTAGAGGACTCTCTACTTTCCATAGACTCCACCTCGTCGTCCTCTACCAAGGTTTCTTTCTCTGAAGAGGATTAGTTGGTGTCCTCTACCCTGCTGTGGGAAGATTTCACCCCGTCGTCCTCAGCCAGGGTTTCTGCCTCTGTAGAGAACTCTTTGGTTTCCTCTTCCCTACTTGTGCCTGGGTTATTCACCTTTTCGGCGGGTTCTTGGTCATGTCACCCTTTGATTCTGAATTTAAGTCTCCCTAGGTCATATCCAGCTTTTTAGCTCCTCTAAGGATTCAGTATCCATCGAAAAAGCCCAAGTTTGACCTTTTACCGATGGGGTTTTACCCCACACCGCGCCGTCCAAAGGTGTATATTTAGCCCATGGTTGGCTATTTTTAGCCTTTTGAGGATTTTATCCCCTTCGGGCCTTTGTTCTCTTTCGTCGGGGACAATTGTTGTGCAGGCTAGTGGCCTAGGAATATCGTTACCCTCCAACGCTTTCAGGTTTGCCCCTTTCCAAGGTTGGATGGTTGTGACGTCCCGCATCCAGTCTGCACTGGTTCGATTCGCGCAAGTCACGACCAGGTAACCTGACTTGTGGCTGCACTTGGCGAACCTTACCTGTGTTCCCTCTGTGGGGATTTTGTCGTGGGCATCGGAGATCGAGTCTTGGACTTTTCCTAGTCTCTCTGGACTCATCTTGATCTCCGGGTACCTTATTTCTACCACTGCAACCTTCACTGAGGTAAGGGCCTCTTTGAACGAAACTTCGTCCGTCCTGGCATTCTTCCTCAGTCAGCTTACCTGTGGCGGTGTTGCATCTGTCGACCTTGGATGTTTTTGAGCTTTTACGCCTTGCTTGGCAGCTTCTTTTGCCTTGCTTGGCAGCTTCTTTCGCCTTTTCTTGACACTCTAGCCTCTGGAACTTTTGGGGCTTTGTTTTTCCGTGATCACCTGCCTTTTTGCAGCTGTGTAATCAAGACCGATTTGCAAGAACTCCTTTAGCATCGTTATTGATTGTCCACTTAGACGGGCAGAGAGTACCTCGTCCTCGGGCATTTGGTCTACCCCTCCCAGGGAGGAGACGATGACTTTACGCCTCTTTGCTAGCTTTTCAGCATTTGCCAGAGACGTTGCCTTCGACGTGTAGCCCCTTTCGAGGTTGACGCTGTTGCCTTTTGTTGCATTTCGCTATTTTGATTGTTGTTTTTAGAATTCATATATAATCCCACGAGAAGCTAGGGAAAAACAGTCCGCTACGGCAGAGCCCCGCATGCAGCAGTAAGGTCGTGATACTCTGGGAGATGACCTGGTATCCCAGAGGCTCCGTTTGCAATATCTTGACCCACGTATCATTCAGTTCTCGACACGGGTTGCAAATTATTTTGGGGGTTTTTGAGTCCCCTCACCCTACTTATAGCTACCGCTAGCCAGATACTCTGACCGTCCACCTATCCACCTCCCGGAGACGCGCCCGGTAGTCTTTCAATCCTCGGGTAAATATTATGTTAATAGCACGTCATCATTGAAACAAAAATTCACAACTAAATCATCAGTAGGATACAATAATAGGTATATAGAATATTTGGCTGCCCTATTCTATTTTTATTCAAAGAACTTAAGGCTGCGATTATAACAACTTATACACAACAATTATAACAGCTAAAAAAAAAAAACAAAAATAGCCTCAGTAAATACAGTTATTTAAAAATAAGTAAGGAAAATTGATTGAACTGGGGATGCGCTAGCGAGAGTCCAAATCGGATTACTTCAAATCTACAAATTCGTCTGTCGTAGCTTTGTGTCTCGGAGGTCCAATTGGTAGAGGCGCTGACGGCTCAATTTGAAGGTTCTAGGTTCGATCTCATTTTTTCTTCTTTCTAAGCTTCTTAAATTTTTATTTCATTTGTTTCCACTTTAGTTTTTAAGGGGAATTGGGGATTATATTTTTACATTTCCAAATATAGAATTCTTTAGTTTTCTGAAATCAACCGATATAAACCTTCTGAATTTATTGCCGGAAAAATCAAGAAAGTTGTATGTGGCGGCGTATGAATCTCTCTTAAATTGGACAAACGAAAAAACAAAATCTTTCATAATCTATTATGTTGGTCTATTTTATAGAACTATTCACAAGCTATAAATCCTCGACACTATACTTAGAAGCACTATTAATATACATCAATTAATACTTAAATATAGACTACGATAATTTTTATGAAATATGTAAAAAATAAATCATGTTGCAAGTGATTTTCTATTTTTAAACTATCAGTCCAAAGAATTTCTATTAATATTTCAAAATGGGAAAAGATATTAATTTTTTTTAAACCTAATCCATAAAAATATTCTGAACATAGTTTTCGAAATCCTCTGCAAATCTACTTGTTGATGTAGGCGGTGACTAAACAGCTACTGCTAGAATAATATCAAATTCCATACAAGTAAATAATTCTAATTCTACGTCCACAATCAAAGTATTTCTACAAATAATCAGAACATTAATTTAGACCTAAATTCCATTTCTGTAATTAACCTAACAAATTATTTAAATGTAACTATTAACATAAATAATTAATGTTGAATTATAATTATCAATTATAAGTTAATAGTAATATTAATGTTATTCATGCTGTAGATAATAAACATTTGTTCCATAAATATTTGCCTTAATACATGTATTTTCAAAAATACTTAACAATCATGGATAAAGTATAGTATTCTACTCATCTGCATAATTTGAAGTTCATATCATGAACATAGATCAAATTCTCAAGTTTCGTCAAAGTTTATCAGGCCCATACATTTTAAGGAACGTTCTTGCAACCGGCTGTTTTATTAAAAAGAAAATGAACACTTTTAAATTTTTCAGAATATGGTACATTCGACTTCGTTATCGTCGGAGGTGGTTCAAGCGGCAGCGTATTAGCGAGACGATTGTCCGATATAGGAGACTGGAATATTTTGGTCATAGAAGCAGGCGAATTTTCTGACAATGGTTTCATACAATTTCCCAGATTTTTCGCACATCACAAATTTTCAGATTACAACTGGGGCTACAAAACTGTACCACAAACCACTGCATCTTTAGGTATAATAAGCATTATTTTCATAATTTCAAGAGTTGTATTCATAAGATTATATCACAAAAAATTAAAGGTTTAAATTTTAAAGAATCATACAGTAAAATAAGCACAGGTTTGCAGATATTAATTAATCAAATGCATAGTGGATGATTACAGTTTTTTAATCAAACAACAGCTTTGCCTAATAAACAAATTCATTAAACAAAGACTTAACACTGAATTTAAGTAAGATTAATGTTATTTATTTTTAGCCGCTGTCAATAGAACCGCCAACATATACTTAGGAAAAGGTGTTGGAGGTACCTCTTTGATCCAGCAAGTAATATACAGTCGAGGTCATCCTGAAAATTACAACAACTGGGCTAAAATTACATCAGACCCATCGTGGTCCTACAAAAACGTCCTTAAGTACTTCAAAAAATCCGAAAAGTTCAACTGGACAAACCCACAAGCACCTGTAGACATGAACTACCATAGTACTAAAGGTGAATTTCACGTACAACACCGTACTCCAACGTACTATCTAAATGACGTATTCCTTAACGCTAACAAAGAACTAGGCTATGACATCACCGACTACAACGGTGCTTCAACATCTGGTGCATCAATTTTACAATTAAATACTCGAAATGGCGCCAGAGAAGATACTGGTACTGCTTTTGTTAAGCCAGTATTGAACAGCTTCAACTTGAAAGTTCTGACAAAAAGTTTTGTCACCAAAATTGAAATAGATAAGCTAACCAAAATAGCGAAGAGTGTTATTTTCACCAGAAACGGTAAAACTTACCGTGCTATAGTTAAAAAGGAGGTCATACTTGCCGCAGGTGCTATTGGTAGTCCTAAAATACTGATGTTATCAGGAATAGGACCCAAAGATCACCTAGAAAACTTAGGAATAGATGTTATAAAAGACTTAGACGTTGGTAGTGAACTAAAAGACCACGCAAGTGCTGGTGGGCTAGTATTTACAACCAACGTGACAAGACCTGTAGATACTTTCAGACAATGGTTAGAAGATTATGTAAAAGGACAAGGTGATTTGACAGGTGTCAGCAGAGCACAAGCTTTGGGCTTCTATCCTAGAAACAGTATAAATACAAAAGGAGTACCAATAATAAGCGTAAATACTGACATAGCTTTACGTTCAAAAATGGTACAAAAATATCTAGATTTCACTACAGAAACTATAGACGCGTACTGGGGTACCAATAATAATGCTGTAAGTTTCGTTGTAAAGTTACTAGATCCAAAATCTTGTGGTACTCTTAGACTTAAATCAAAAAACCCTTTTGAATATCCTTTAATCAATCCTAAATTTTTATCAGATCCTGAGAACAGTGATATCGAGGAACTGTACAAAGGAATACAGTTAATTTTTAAATTATCACAGACGGTACCGTACAGAAGCATTGATTTGAAGTATTTGGGTGAACCAGTACCTGCTTGTAAGCAACTGGAGTTCAAGTCTAAGGATTATTGGTACTGCTTTTTGAGACAGGTGACTATATCTGGGTACGATCCTAGCGGTACTTGTCCAATGGGTTCTAGTCCGTGCGAAGGAGGAGTCGTGGATTCAAAATTAAGAGTTTTTGGTATTAAAGGAGTTAGAGTCGGTGATGCTAGCGTTTTTCCAAGTCCCATTGCAGGAAATTCGGTGACGGCCAGTATTATGGTGGGGGAGAAGCTGGCTGATAGCTTGTTAGCAGAATATTTTTTCTATTAGTATTAGTTATGTTATTTCTTTAAATTGTGTGTGAAATAAAATAATTCTTGTTAAAAAAGGTGTGTTTTCTTTCATTACCGAATTCAATACATTTATATAAGTGATAGTAAGTGAACTTCAAAATACGAGAGGTGCTAAATTTTATTTTGAATGGAAGAACGGAAACGTGGATAATAGTGTATTATTCAACGAGCGGTAATGTAGTATAGAAGCAAAAAACAGACGACATACTTTATTTACACTTTTTGCTTATCTACAACTGCATATAATAATTATTAATGTAAAATTTATTAAATATGTTGAATTTGGATAATATTATTAAAATTATTCAGAGATAAATTGTCCTTTAATGATATCCGCATATACGTTTGTCGTATATGTATATTTTAGTTATAATTAATATAATTTGAATTTTTGAGGTATTTTTTTAGCAAACCGTTTTATTTTTAAATGATATCGTTCAATTATTATGTTTTTAATTACCATATCAAAAACAAAAACAGAAATGTAATTACCTACTCGTAAAATATAAACCCGCTAAATATTAGCAAACATATCACTTCTGAAAAGATGTTTTCACTAACAAGAATATTTTTGGTCTGCTTTGTCTTCAGGCTAGCTGTAAGTAAAACTCAAACAGTTGACGAATTGTTGGCCATAATTGACGATGGTAATAAAGAGGCGGCGACTTACGAATTACCAACGGATGCCAAGCAGTATGCAGTAAATGGTGATGCCACTATCCATGGTAAATAGGTATTCTTTTTTAACAAATTCAATTTCAATGTAAAATCGGATTCATCTTGATTGGAGTTTTAGTTAATCTTCTAAGAAGTCTTATTGATCAAATTAGGCTCACATGATGTTCAATTTATTAGAGAACCTAAACCTAAAATTAACTTTTGGTAATAACGCAAACGTTGTTTAAACCTATTCAGGCATTTCAATAGTAGAAAAGCCACTTCTACTAGACAAGTGCTAGTAGCATCCTAGATAGTACAGAACGTCTCATGGACGTTCTAATTTGGTATCTTGTTGATCCGGTTGGTCTTTCGATTACCGTAAACACTAAGACGTCCTATTTTGGTCCCGTTTCTGATAATATCGATTCGGAACCTTTATAAGACATCTAATGTACTTACGTTGGTCATTGAGTCGATATGAGAAATTTAAAGTTTTGTTTTTTCGAGAGAAGGAAAAGGACAGAAAACCTAACCTATCATTTAATTTCAAATGAACAACAGTTTAAATATTAAATAATAAGAAAAATATTCGGTTTCTTCGCAGTAGGATCTCTATGCATCTCTGTTTTTATCTGACGATTTTTTGTATTCTCTGAGGTGAGATTTGTAAGTATCCCAGTCCTCTTTGAGTTTTGTGGTTCTTGCCTTATTAAAAGAGTTCCTAGTCATCTTCCTAAGGTGAACCAACTCGTGACACCACCATGCGATAGTCGTCTGATCGTGTTGGACCAGCCTCAGAGGACATGATTTCTTATAGGCATTGTTTATTGTGTTTTGGATAGTGTTCGTGTACTTTTCCAAAGCAGTGTTATTGTTTAGTGTTTCGGCCTCCATCTCTCTCAGAGCCTCTTGGAGAAGATGAGCATGTTGCCCTGTTCGTCTTCCTAGGGTTCCGAGATAGCGTGGAGGTCGGCAACATCAAGTGTATTTTGAATGTTAACCAGTGATGGTCTGACATCGAAATGTTGTCAGACACTTGCCAGTTTAGAATTGATTTATAGATACCAGTTGTGGATAAAGTGATATCTATTAGTGTTTGACTGCGAGAGTTTAACAATGTTGGTGTGGTACCTTTATTTAAATACAAAATTTTTTGGTAATTATATAATCATAAAGTGACTTACCTCTAGCGTTGTTATCCTTACTGCCCCAACTAAAGTGATGAGCCTTTGAGTCGCAACCTATTGCCAGCTCAAACTTATGTTCCAGGCAGTATTCAATCAGATCCTCCATCTTTTTACTGGGTGGTGGCGTGGTTACGTCAGAGGGGAGGTTTGCAGATGCCAGGATCAACGTTCCCTTTTTCGTTTTAATGGCCTATTCCATCCTAACCGCAGTTAAATCGGAGATGAAAAGGTGTGCCATTGAGTGGGCTTTGAATTTCCTAGGAATGTAAATGACTGTCCTAGGTTGTTGGTTGCTGGGAAAGCTAAAAATTGAACCATTTAGATTTTTAAGACCTAAAATTTTGGTTTTTATTATCCAGGGTTCCTGGATGAGTGCTACTGTATCTTGCAGCTCACCAAGGCGGCGGCATAATGTTGCCGTAGTCACCTTTTTGTGCTGCAAGTTACATTGTATGATTGTTACCTCTTTTATTGCTTCCTGGTTCTCCGTTTAAAATTGGGCAGCGAGGTAATTATTTATTCGACCATCCCTTCCTCCGAAAGTGGGAAGGGAGTGGTCTCTTGTGGCCTCTCGGAGTTTTGTTGATGGAGGTCATCGATTGTCATTTTTTCTGGCTCGACGTCCTCCACTGTTGGCTTAAATTGGGGGGGAAGAGGGTCCTTTATCAATGAGTCTTCTCTGGGCCCCGCTTCAGCCTCTTTTTCGACCTTTGGCCTTATAGTCAATGAGATGAACGCATAGCTCATCCTTGATTTGGCCATTAGGTTTCACATGTCTTCGTCTCCGATGCCGAAGATGAAGAGATGGCCTTTAAGGTCTTTTTTGATTTGATGGTGGAAGGTGCATCACTTCGACACATGCAAGTTTGGGTTTTGCCCCTCAATTCGCCTAAGCACAACCTCTTTCTGGTCAAGGTCAGCTTGCGCTTCCCCTGGGATCCAGAGAGAGGTTTTGGTGAGCTTGGGGAGCTCGTCCATCCTTACAACTGCGAGTGTTGCTCCTTCCCATGTTTTTTAAGTTGGTACCTTGGTTTTTAGATATTCCAACGTCAGGTCATCGACGTATGTTACTCTAATGATTTCACCAGAGTGCCTCCAAGACCTGAATGTGGGTGCCATGGTTTTGCTACAAGAGGCGGACAACATTGTTTTGTCCAGCTCTCCCATCAGTGTCTTTTTGACAAGGATTTCTCTTTCGGTAGTTATCTTACCGTAAGGGTTATCCTTGTCTATTATAGCTACTTTCTCATCTCTAGTTGCGTCGTGTTCCTGGCCTCTTGTGGAGGCAGAACTAGCGTCGCTGCCTAAGGACTTGATTAAGCTGCATTTGTTTTGAGTGAGGGAGTTTGCTGAGGGTGGCGGTTGCCGAAGCACTGCCTGCCTGCAGCTTATCCCTCTTCCTCCTCTTTTTTAAATAATAACCTCACATAAGTGGAAGCCAAATGTTAGTGTAACGAAGAAGAAAAGGTTATATAATGTTATTTATAAAAAAGGAAAAGCACCTACATTATACGTTTGTACTATCTGGGATTATGTCAGTCTTATAGGTAATAGTTATTGGAATCTCACTAATCACTTGTAGAAGCCACAGGCAATTACAACGGGGCTAAAATATTTTAGGCCCTTACACCTCCATAGACATCACGACTCGTAATAACAGAATTTATCGAGCCACACTCTCATGCCAATTTGTGCCTTTGTGCGGGGATATTAACAAGAAGATGAAACTCGTTTTATTTATTTATTCTCTTAATTCATTTCTCTAGATATGGAAGAATCTTTCGACTTTGTTATCGTCGGTGCAAGTCCAGCAGGAACTGTTTTGGCCAACAGATTGACAGAAGAAGGTAGATTTAAAGTGTTACTTCTCGAAGCAGGCAAATACGCTAATAATAGTGGTTTCACCCAATTCCCTAGATTCTTTGCTCTACATCCATATTCCGATTACGGCTGGGGATATACAAGTGTTAAACAATCCACAGCATGTTTAGGTAAGTTTCCATTTAATAATTAATTAAAAGCACTCTTACTATTTTGATAATATTCCTTCCAAAATAGAATTATCTCCTCCCCATCTATCATATTTAAGTTCATACCCTCTAGCACCATTCCAAGATTGATCACACGTATAGGATCAAAGTTGTAGCACCTATAATATTATATTATTATTAAAATAATAATACGAATGCAAGTAATAAGTATTTTTATTTGACAGCGTTCACAACTAACATCTAATAACATTCTGTTGTTTAAGCCTGCTGTTACAGCACCTAAATTTTTAAATGATTTGAGATGTATTTACATCTTTTGATACACAGTATGGTTCCAATAAAAATATACATACCTATTATCCTGGGCTAAGGGCTTCCATGTTCCATTACTGTAAAACAACTCTGATCTTGCATAATATGTTCGTTGCCTTTTGAAGGAAAACAAAACAAATATGAAAATAATTTTCAGGTACCGCCAAAAAATCTTGCAAGTACTACAGCGGTAAAGGTGTAGGAGGTAACAGTCTTATCCAACCACCACTTTACAGTCGTGGCCATCCAGAAAACTTCAACTGTATAGCAAGAACTGTGAGAGATGCATCATGGAACTACAAGGATCTTCTCAAATACTTTAAGAAACTCGAAAAACTCACCAGAGTAGCTGAAAAGGCTCCAATCGATTCCGAAGTTCATGGCTATTCAGGTTTGATACATACCCAGAACCGCATTCCCGGAGGTTATTTCCTTACTAACACCTTCGTGGAGGGCAGTGTCGAATTAGGCTATCCGATCAATGATTACAACGGACCTAATCCAGTCGGAGCATCAATCGAACAACTTTATATCAACAACGGTAGGAGACAAGATATGGGTAGCGTTTTTGTAACGCCATACCGTAACAGAGCTAACCTTAAAGTACTAATCGAAAGTTATGTCACTAAAATCGAAATTAACCCCTACTCCAGAGTGGCTCAAAGCGTAATCTACACCAGATCAGGTGTGAGATACAGAGCAAGAGCTTCAAAAGAAATCATATTATCCGCTGGTTCCATAGGAAGTCCACGGACTTTGATGTTGTCCGGAATCGGTCCTAGACGCCACTTGGAAAAAGTAGGAATAGATGTGATCCAAGACCTTGAAGTTGGTAGCGGTCTTAAAGACTATGCTGTTGCTGGAGCTTTAATCTTCTCGACAAATGTAACCCGTCCCGTGGACTATTATAAAGACTGGGTTCAGGACTATCTTAAGGGCGAAGGAGATTTAACAGGAGTTAGCAGAGCTCAAGCTATCGGCTTCTACCCTCTAAAATCTTGTAACAAGCTAATACCAACTGTAAGACTCATGTCTGATATAACTTTACCATCAAGTGGTGTGCAGAAATATATGGACTTTACTACTGAAAATACAAAGGCCTCCTGGGGTACTAATAAAAATGCTGTAGTCTTCGAACTGGGGTTGCTAAATCCTAAATCAAGTGGTACTATTAGACTCAAAAACAGTAATCCTTTCGAATACCCATTGATTAATCCCAGGTTCCTTTCCGACGCACATAATAAAGATATTGACATGCTCTATGAGGGAATTAAACTGGTTTTTAGGTTGAAAGATACATTAGCTTACAAGAAAATACAATTGACTTACAACGGAGCTCCTCTGCCAGCTTGCACTAAACATACCTTTCTTTCTAAGAGCTATTGGTACTGTTTCTTAAGACAGGTTACATTAGCCGGTGGATTTCCTACTGGTACCTGCCCTATAGGAGTAAATAGGGAAAAAGGAGCTGTTGTAGACTCAAAGTTGAGGGTGATAGGAATTTCTCGTTTACGTGTAGCTGATGAAAGTGTATTTCCTAGACCATTATATGGTACTGCAAGCATTCAAGCTACTGTCGTTGGAGAGAAATTGGCTGATGATCTCAAGAGGCAGTATTAAAAAAATGTTTAAAAGTAAGAAATTCGAAGTTTAGTCAAATTTAATGTAAAAAATGTCATTCGTCATTTTCTTTTATAAATTATACAAATATATAAATTAAACGTTTCTGGTTTAAATAAAATGTATTATATTTTAAAATCTTTTTTTTATTTATTATACGAGCCCAGACGCACATGAATTGGACCAAAACAAATAATAAACACAATTTTATTTTTCTGAATTAGAATTTATTTTACTATTATAAATTCAACGGATACGATTAAGCTTATTTGATACCATGTGGTTTTGATAATTAATCAACAATATATAATATTTTTATCGACTACAATAATTATAAAATAAACAAAAAAGAAAAGTAATGTCTGGCGCAAATTAATTGGACCATCACCCAATCGTAATGATAAATACTTATTTATCCAATAAAATCTCTTGTATAATTTTTTCTGGAAATTATATTATTAAGTGGGCGTTGAAGAAATAATTTATGACGTTTGTTGAGTGATTCAATTAGGCATTCCAAACAAATGAATTACCAGTGGGCAGGTTTGGTATATCTAAGGGTGGCGACATATGGTGTATTCTATCTACTTCACGTAAAATCATGAATAATGGATTACATTTAAATATTTTATGTCAAACACAATAAAAATAATATTTAAAAAACCCACCTATACATTTCTTCATAAATTGGCAGGCTTGGCGAGTACTACTTCGAATAAAAATAGCGTCCAAGTTGCAAGACTATGTCGCTACCCCCTTAAATATACAAGAATTTCCCACTGGCACCTATTGTTTGACAGGTCGTTGGAATGCCTAATTTAGTTACTTGTCTAAATGTTCGCGGAAAGTGTTTATCTGACGATTTAAGAAATTCTATTGTTGCGGCCCATAAGAAAGGACTTTTTGGACATAAAATTGCTCAAAATTTAAGTATTCCTCAAGGAACTGTAAGAAATATAATTTCAAATTTTAAAAAAAAACCGGAAATGTTGAAACGAAAGTTAAAACTGGCCGTGTTTCAAAGATTACCGAAAGAGATGATCGTGCTCTTTGGGCACTTATTAAACAAGATCGCCGAGCTTATTCTCGAGAATTGGCTGTAAAATGGGCCCATGCAATTGGTAGACCAATTTCAAAAGACACTTGTTTGAGGAGAATGAAAAAAATGGGATATGGATTCTACCAAAGTATATTAACCGTTGAGTAGCGACAGCTGGGGAACCAAGTTCTAGTGCGCCGACGTGAAATAGAGAGGCGAGACGTCTTCTAAAGATGTAAACAACCCCTTTCACTTTAGTCCGGCAGCTGATATAGGAATTCGTTGTTGTGGGTTTATTAGTCAAAAATTGTATTCAGCGACATGTTTAAACAACGCGAAATTTAAAGTTTGAGACAACTCGATTAATAAATAAGAAGGTCCATGAGTAATAATTTCTATTGTTATCAAAAATCAAAACCCTGTGCACCTACCAACTTTCAAGTCTCTAGCTCATCCGGACGTAGGTAAAAAAATTGAAATTTATCAATAGTGATATATATTTTTATATTTATTACATAAGTTAAATACTCATAAATATAAAACTGCCTAATGACCAAACCTTTATTATAAATGTAAACTACAAAAGAGTTTTACTTCAAATTACGTCGAGCAGTGTAAACATCACATTCAAGACCAGTTCATAATTCGAGAAGTGTTTTAGTGTGTCGTTCCGTCAATAACGTCAAAAGGGAGAGAAAGAAAATTTGCACCACCCAAGATCAAAGGCACCGACGCTTTATATCGCTACTCAACGGTTAATATACTCTGATTCTACAAGGTAAGTTTTTACAAGAAACACTTCTCATCTTAAATATTCAAATTTATCATCTCACTTTAGGCAAAGGAAAAACCACTTCTCACAGAGAAACAAAAAAGAAACCGATTGTTATGGGCAAAAGAGCACCGAAACTGGGTTCAACGTCAATGGGATTCAGTTATCTGGAGTGATGAAGCTAAGTTTGAGGTCTATGTTGGCGATACACGAAGCAGAGTTATCCGAATGCCAGGAGAAGAATATCACAAAGATTGCCTCAAAAGAAAGGTTAAGTTCCCGGCATCTGTGATGGTCTGGGGCTGTATGTCCTCACAAGGAGTTGGACATCTCCTTTTCATTGATGGCACTGTCAATGCTATAAAGTACAAAAGTATTTTACAAGAAGAATTGTTGCCTTCACTAATGAAAGTCAACTGCCAGATGGATAATTTATATTTCAACAAGATGGCGCAGCCTGCCATACAGCGAAATCCATAACATCATGGTTTCAGGAAATGAATATTCCTGTTTTAAACTGGCCTTCAAGCAGTCCTGACCTATCTCCTATTGAGACTCTTTGGCATCAGATGAAAAAAGCACTTCGAACTACGCCAGTTCGCACAATTCCTGAATTAATGGTTAAAGTTCAGGAAATTTGGAATAACTTTCAACCAGATTACTGTCAAACATTAGTAGGCACTATGCCACAGAGAATTGAAGCCGTTATAAAACGTAAGGGTGACGTCACACAGTGGTAACGCTGACTAAATATTTGGTCCAATTAATTTGCGCGACATTAATTTTCCTTTTTTTTTTTCATTTTATAATTCTTGTAGTTGATAAAAGTCTTATATATTATTGATTAATTGTCAAAACCACATAGTATCAAATAAGCTTAATCGTATCCGTTGAATTTATAATAGTAAAATAAATTCTAATTCAGAAAAATAAAATTGTGTTTATTATTTGTTTTGGTCCAATTCATATGCGTCTGGGCTCGTAGATGAGGAACCTAAAAGTCCTGGAACCATCAACTTAATTTAGTATTTGGCATAATTCCGCGTATTAATATTAAATAAATTTAATCACAAGAATACAATTGCCCAAAAATTTACAATTTTAATAAATATACATCTACGATAATCTATATACAGGGTGTAACAAAAAGGAAGGTCATAAATGGAACGGGTGGCACAAAATTGATCGAAAAACATTTGATCGAATAGAAAACTTGATCGAAAATATATTTTACGAATGGTATTTGATCGAATATATATTTGATCGAATAACATTCGATCGAAGATATATTTTATCAAAAAGACAATATATCGAAAATTCATTAGATCGAAAGGACAATATATTGAAAATCAACATTAAAAATAGTAAAATATTAAAAAAATCATACGACACCTTGCCTACTACCGGGGAAACCAAACTTAGTAACTATAAAAATTAGGGACTAATTTTTCGATAATCTCAACCGATAGCTCCTCGTTTTATCCTTATAATACTGTTAATTTAAAAATTAATATTTTAGAGCTAAACGATTATTTATCTTCATTACGATTAAAGAATTGTGATAAATTCGCACTAAATATGTATTTCACTAAGGTCGAGTTGTCTCCCGATGGGACATTATAGGTCAATTATTAATTTCATTTAATTAATTTACCTAACCTGTGTGACCTGGAACCGTCGCGGTTTGCCTCGCAAAAAATTAAAAAATGAGCCATTGAGGGTTGCTTCGCAAAAAAATTATACAAAAAAATAACTAATTTACCTAACCTGTGCGGCCTAGAGCAATTTAATTTTAATTGATTGCTCTCGCACAAGTTAGGTAATTTGTTTTTTTTTTATAAAAAACTTAACTCACCTACCTAACCTGTGCGGTCTGGAACCATCCCGGTTTGCCTCGCAATTTTTTTTGATAAAAAAATGAGAAAAATAAAAAACCTAACTAATTTACCTAACCTGTGCTATTTAAATTTAACTGATTGCTCTTGCATAAGTTAGGTAAGTTAGTTAATTTGATTAATTTACCTAACCCGTCGTAGTTTGCTATGCAAAAAAAAATATAGAAAACTAAGAAAAATAAAAACAAAAATTTTAACAATTTTACCTAACCTGTGTGGCATGGAGCCCTCAAGGGCTGCTTGTCTATTTTGAAAAACATGGATGATTAATCTATATAACTATCTATTTCATTGACACTGTCAAATCACCAGGCCTACATGGTTGCCATATCATAACCTGTCATAACCCACTGGTAGATATTTTGTTTGGAATGCTTAATTGCCAGTGGGAAGGTTTGGTATATCTAAGGGTGGCGATATACGATGTATTCTATTTACAATAAGAAAAATCGTGAATTATGGATTATATTTAAATATTTTATGTCCAACACAATAAAAATATTATTTTAAAAAAACCGCTCATACATTTTTCATAAATTGGCAGGCTTAGCAACTACTTTTTCGAATAAAAATAGCGTCCAGGATGCAAGACTATGTCGCTATCCCCTTAGATATACGAAACCTTTCCACTGGCAGCTATTGTTTGACAGGTCGTTGGAATGCATGACTGAGAACCCTTTAATTTCGAACGAATTTGAACAATATTACATGGACGGATAGAGGATCGTGAAAACAAAAAAATTACTTCTCCCCCTACTTCTCCAACTTCCCCACTTCCCCGCGCCTAAATGATAAGGGATAGAAAAAACTAATAGCAAGTCCCTAGGCAGTAGGGATTTCAAACCGCCCAACTTCCCCCACCCCAGGGGAGGTCGGTATATAGAACCGCTAAACCTAGGAAAATGAACTTTGGGTACGATGGTTTGGACTTTAAGGCGAAAAAAATTTCATCCCCTTTCATCCCTTGCTATAAACAATAATTTTTTTTTGAAATTAGACCAGAAAGTCGTACACCTTTGGGTTTTGGAGATTTTTGAACCACCCCCCTCCCCCACTCCTTCCGCCCACGGTTGTATAGAGAACCAAAATGTTAGATGTAATCCGATTTTTGTTATTCGCTCCGTGCGAAGTCATGGAAAGGGAAGCAAAAGCGATACTAGCGCTAGCTGCGGATAATTCGTGCATTTTAGGACGATATTTTGTAATTTTGGCATATCAAATACACGTATACATTTTACTTTTTTTTCAAAAAAGTAGGTAAAAACAATACAATAAGCAACCGGAGTTGCTGTGT